GACAGCAGATGCATTGTTAACCCTTTAATAAAAGGGACTGGTGTTTTTACAAATACCAAAGAACAAGGGAGAGAACTATACAATTATAGTTTGTAGGGGTTCACTGTGAAAGTCTATAAACAATACCTTGTTATGTAAATCTCTAGTGCGCATGTGATTTTCTGAATGCCTTCTGACCCCACACTCAGATTCTCCAGTTGGGTGTTGTATATTATTGTCCTTGAGTTAAAAAGTGGAGAACTTCAAAGGCACAAGTGGCTCTTACGAACCTAACTTCTTTCAACTTTCAGTGGGAATTAAGTGCCTTTGAAAATCTTTCCCTACATGTGAAACCTGTCAGTCATCCCTTCTAAGTGGTAATTTTTCCTTTACAACAGAGCCTGCCTTTTCCTACAGGTATTTTTTTTTATCAACACTAGAAAAACAGTACTGTGTATTATTTCCAGGATCCACACTTCACTGCTATCAGAATAAGATTTTTGTACTTTTTTTCTAGATATGCTTGCCAAACATTTTTATTAAGTTAATAAGTTACCAGCTTGTGTATGTTCTCATTAGCTGATAAATGGAGGTAATTAGGAATGCCTTGTGGTTTTTTGTTTAAAGCTGCAAACCGATGAAGGTTGCAAGGAGTGGGTCTGGTTCTTTTCCAGCTAGACCTGCAGGAGAAACTAATTCTAATCTTAACCTTCCTAATGGATGTGACCGTAAATTATGCTGCCAGTTCCTCTCTTCATACTCTACCTAGCACAAAACTGCACTTAGGTGTCACTTACTATCACTGTGCCCTGACTCTGCCTTAAACTGTCTGTTGAAAAAGCGTTCTGTAAATACATGATGCTGTTACTAAATCACATTGTAAAATTTGGCAAACCTGTTGTGTGTGATGCTGGGGTCTCAGCAAGGGGAAACCCAATTTATTTTTATGGAATGATCTTTACATTCTGCTGAGCTGTGTAAATAAATAAATCCTCTTCAGTCACTGTAGATTTGCTGCTACGTTTTGTTTTTGCAAAGGGGAATGTCTCTCGCTGATATTTACACTTTTTTATATGCAAAATAGCAATTACTTTGAAAGTAGGGTCCTTCACCTAGGCACGTTGGCTTAGACATTGACTTTGACATTTTAGCCCCTTAGACTACGGCGACTCTGGATTTGATGATGGAAGCGTCTTGGGTTTTTTTTAAAATAGACTTGAGGATTGTTTCCTTAGGTGCGTTCTACTTTTGCCCAAATGAATAAGATGTTGCAGGTGAAAGAAATATGGTCTCTCAGCATAAGAGATTATAATAAACCCTGGTACTAGGCTGATGGGAAGACAAAAGACATGACCGTGAGATCATGTAGCTGTGTGATGGGGGTGTACAAATCCCACACTGGGCAACATGGGGTTAAGGGATTATTTGGGTTTAGTTACTGCCCCCCACACACCTGCAGCAAATGCTCCATCTGCTGGAGGAATTAAGACAGGGAATTAGCTCATTTGGGTGGCAGAGCTGGAGGTGAGCAGCTCTGCAGGCTACAGATCCAGCAGTGCTGAGCAGAGGAAGCCTAAGGGAAGAGAGGAGCAACCCCAGAGACAACCAGCGAAGGAAGTATCCTGTGGACCTTGGACATTGGTAACCCCCTCTTATTGTGGTTTGGGTTTCCCCACCAGGGAAAGTCTCGGACTAAGATGATGTGGGGGGAGAGGGGAAGAGGCCCACGAAGGACCCCCTTAAGCAGCCTTGGTTGCCAGACCACTGGTAGCCCAAAGTTCCCTGGGTGGAATGGGAAGGCCTGGGGTCCCCTCTCCACAACCCCCTTGGCAGTCAGGAGTTGTGGCTGTGAGCACTAGGCCATGCTCCCCAACCAGACCCCGAGTGAGGATTGTTACAAGCTGCTTTGGTGAGGAGCATGTGATGATCCTGATTTGTTAAGGTTCTGGGCCAGGTTGCCAGCTGGTGTAAATCAGAATACTTCTGCTGACTTCAATGGAGCTCTGTCAGTTCACACCAGCTGAGGATGGGGCCTATTATTACTGTAAGGGGAAAGTGTAGGGTTTATTGTTGCTGTTGGGTGGGGCTGGGTATCAAGAAGAAAAGTGGTTTGATGTGCTGTGTGGAGACAGGAATAGGGAGTGAGGGATGACCTGAAGGAGGCTCTGGTGGCGTGAGTGAAGATTAGACTCCTTTCCTACCACACTGTGGCCTGCCACAGCCAGCTGGCAGTTCAGACCTCAACCCAAGTTTTTGTTCAGTCTGCTTTTGAGCACAGGATCAGTCTTGCCAAAGCACACAGCCCTGGGCCAATATCTGATCATCACTTACAGCTGTAATTCCACTTAATAGGGCTTGGGATTCCTAAAGCTCTGTTTGTTTACAAAGGCTGTAACCCCAGCTCAAGTTGCAATCGGCTAGAATGCAGTAGGTGGGTGAATTGTCACTGGAGCTAACTTAGAATTGTGCTTTAGATTCTTTTAATTTTTTTACAGGTGATCTAGGACTTAAAATACCTTCTTAGCCCATGAGGGCCAGCTTAAATGCAGAGCGGTTACTCAGTGATGGTAGGTATTCTCTGCTCTTACTGGGTCTAATTAAAGATGGCTTCAGGGCCACATTTGCCTGTTTATTTGTACAAATCACTCCTAGTCCCAGAAACCTGGTGGCATTTATCAAGGGGTAGCAGTAATGTGGGTCTCTTTCCCAGGCTGCTTTGCCACTTATTGAAATTACCGAGTGGTAAAATTAAACTCTGGACTTGCTGTGACTCTTGCTTCTTTGTGGAAGCTTCCATAATTGCCATTGACTTGATAAGCAGCTGCTCGCTCTTCAGCCTAGGAACCTATAAATGGGCCTATCTTTGACTCCCTTAGATCACCCACCATGTCAGAGCATGGACGGAATTCAGGTCACCTGTTTCCCAATCCAGTGTCTCTTCCAGTGGGCTGATACCTGCCCCTATCCAGTGCTGAGAGCTCACTCAATGTGCTTAGAGATCCTCAGCTACAAGGGGCTACAGAAACGAGGACTGTTCAGGTAGCCTTTTGTAGCTCAAGGTTTGGGTCAGAAGCTGGTCCTGGTTCCATCTTAAGTTCTAAGGCACTCTTAGGAATGAATGAACACACATTCCCTCCCCCTGCCTGTCCCAAATTAAAAAGAAAATTCAACGAATCGGATTTGTGTGGAACTCATGGGGCTTTTGTTTTACAGTGACAGAAATTATTGCTCATGAAGATGAAGACCCTCAAGCCTTCCAAGCACTGTTCGAGCTACCCCACGCAGCCAACAGCCTTCAGTGCTGGCCTCCACCATACCCAGCCAGAGGGATCTCGGGCAATGGCTGCTGATTATGCCAAACGGTTACAGTCTTGTACACAAGAGGCAGCCAACAGCACTGAAACTGCTGAAGAGTGAGTAAAATCTATCCTACTCCATTGTAATAACTCCCCTTCTTGACTGTGCAGTACCCTTATTTTCCCCCCAGGCTACACTTAACAGCAACAGAACAGCTGTAGACAAGTTGAGTGTTGCTACCTGTCTAGATCTAGTGTTTTGAAACCTTTTAGTAACCACAGGCTGGCACAATGCCTTGACAATGGTTAGACAACTCCCTGCTCCCCTTGTTTTATACTCTATAAATGCTTTGTGTAAGGGGCTGTCTCTGTTGTGTGTACAGTGTCTAGCACAATGGGGTGTTGATCCCAGTACGGTCTAAGTGGTAACCCCTGAAATGTGTGCAGAGATGATCTTTTGCATGTGAACTTAACCCTTGCTGTGCGCACAGGGAAGGAGCTGCACCTGTTATTAGGATGCTAGGGTTTGGGTCTTCGGCTCTATTCCCATGGAGCTGGAGGGTCGGGGCAATCAGGACTGCCGTTCTTGTTTGTTAGACTTTGCCACATCTCCCAGGAAGGAATCTAGGGCTAGAAAAAAGGGTGTATGGTGTTCGAATGGAAGAGGGAAAAGATGCAGAAGTTCAGTTTCTTTTCCTTTAGTGGGTCAGACCATCTGAGCGCCACTCCTGTATTTCACTCCCTGTTGTATGTACAGTTGGAACTGAGCTGCACTGTTTGGATTGTGGGGTGTTAGGGACAGCTCTTTAGGGAACTAGCATGCCTGCTGTGAAAGCTGAATCGGCAATCAAATTTAGGCAAGGCTCTGGGGTATTCTGACCCAAAGCCCTTGACCAGACACTTTAACCAAGGGCCAAAGACCTATACTCTGAAAATCAGGACTCTAAGTTGTCATGTTGGGCCCCCAAGAACTGAGAGCCCCAATATCACTAGCCCTTTCTGAAAATCTTGGCCATCACTTATACCAGCATTAAATGGGCTGATGTTTAAAGCTGGTGCATTAGAATCTTACTGTGTAACTTGTTATAGCCAACTGAGCCTACAATTGCATGAAAGATTGACATGGGCCTGACACCTGCAAACGTTTGTGCTAGATGAACAAACAGCATTAATTCCAAAATTGGAAGATGAATTTTAATAGCTGTGTCCGAGCCCTTCAATCTGCCAGGAAAGGATGAGATTTCATCACTGGTCAGTGACCGCTCTGGCCTTTCTTTGAAAAGGCTCTAAAACCCTGCCCCTTGAGAGCTTAGCCTGGGAAACCCTTTAAACAGATGTGACCGCACAGTAATGGTTGGCTGCTAAGGGTAAGTGCTGCACAGGACCTAGGAACTGAACTTTGTCTGCCAGCTCTTGGGCAGCGCAAGGGCAGCTGTAGCCCCTGCAGCAAAGGAAGGTCCCCTCTTGTTACCCTCACAGGCTCTGGCCTTCCACTTACAGGCTTCGTAAGTTCATTCAATCTTCCTTGGCTAGGACAACAGTGGTTACAACATTGGGCTCTGAGGGTAAAGCAGAGGAAAATGGGGAGTCTCTTCAGGGCTGTATAAAGGGTGAGCGGGATCTTGAGTGCAAGGAACAGAACTGTCAGAAAGCACATCAGGGGAATCTGCAGGCTTGATGGACAAAATTCCCTTTCTGCTTACTAGAGAAAACAGAGGCTGCATGTAAATTATAACACTTTATTACAGAAAAGAAACCTTACAACTGCAGGATCCTGTAAACACCATGAGTAACACTGAACCAAATATAAAACGTAAGAAACGAATTGATCTTGTACCTGAACAGTTGGTGACATTCAGTGTCACCATTTACTTAGTTTAAAACTATGTTCCAGTGGAATCTGCTTTAGAACATTCGAAAAAGGGATATGGTAAAGGACATCATTGTGGGTGAACTGAATGGTTTATGTAAACCCTTTCTTAATTAGATGTATTCCATACCCCTAACACACTAAGACCTGATTGTATGAAGTGCTGAGTGCCCTCAACACCCACTGAATCTAAAAGGGTCTGACCCTGTGAAAAGCATTCAGGTGCCCAACCCCTGATGCTCCAATGGGGTTTGAGGGCACTGTGTGTGTGTACAGAAATATGTAAACTCAAATTCTAGACCAGCTCTCCAGTATATATCTAGTTTACTTAAAACTGAAGGTGGTTCAGCAATAAATAGACAATGTACAACCCGTAAGCCCAATCATGCTGGTGAGTACTCCTAATGAAGTCTGCTCATGTGAGCACCTCCCTCCACCCCGAGGAAAGGACTCAACTGGGCCTTCCAGGAGGCAGATTCTTCTCACGTGCCATGTAAAGTCTTCCAGTATTTAACAGTTTTAATTTCTTTCTAACAGTCACAAGTGATTGCATAAAATGTCTATTGACCTGCCAGCAAATGCTTAAGGACACTTCTGTCCTGCCCTAAAGAGTTAGGAGGAGCTTTTCAAAAGCATTTAAAGGGATTTAGGAGCACACAGCCTAGTGACTTTCAGTAGGCAGTTTTGAAAATCTCCTTCCCTTAGGCACTTGTAAGGAGAGGAAATCTGTTTGCTGTTCTTCTGAGGCCAAGAAAGAGCCACTGCAAATATGGGAACCTGGCCTCAGCGATAGTCAAGCACTGATACAAATAGAAACTAGATACATATCAGCAAGTGCTTGTCTCTTTTTAAACTAAAGCAGCGTTTGTATATTCATAAGACAATTTGTGCTTATTATTATCAAGTTAAATATGGTGAAAAAATATACAAATATACCTTTAGCAGCAAGAGAGTCTAGTTTACAATCTGTAAACAGACAGAGGGAAAAGAATGAAAATATGCTTGGAAAAATGCTTTGCTTTCACCAAACGATGCTTTGGGGGGAGAAGAGGAAATGCTGAAAGGGGATCCTTATTTTAGGGGCTGATTTTAAGAAGCTGGGCTCTGTTTTTGTAGGCAGGCAGATGTGTAAGTGGTATGAGTTTTAACTGCAGGTGTAGTTATTTGGAGGGGCAGAACTGAGCCTTTGCACCCCTTCAAAAAAATGAGGACTTCAGACTCTTTGGACTGGAATCAGGACTGGACTAGCTGTAACTCTTTTTGACCACGGTCATGGCTAGTACATTCCCGTATCCTGTCTGAACTGGGCCTTTAGCGCAAACACCCCCTCCTGAAACAAGTCGGGAGAAGCAAGAAATATTTTCTCTCAGCTGTAGATTTACTTCCTTACACAGCTGTTCTTACTGTGTGTGTCTATAAAATGCTGCTAAAATTTTTTCCCCCTTCTCTCTCTTTTTGCCTGTTTGACAGAATAAAATTACCCAAATCAAACTGGAAGGAAGGAGTCTGCCTTGAAATCTGCAATCGGATGGGTGTGGGGTGCTCCCATGGGCAAATAGCTGCAGCAGTTATAAAAGAGGAAGAAAAAACTACCTACAGGTTCTGCCAAGGTAAATTGCTGAGCTGAGAGACTCTGGCTTAGCATGCGTGTGCAGCAAGAAGCAGTGGTTCTTCGGGTAAAGAGCCATCACTAAAGCAGTTTCACGCATTTAACAGGCTGTCAGACGGATTTATTTGGTAAAATATTATCTAGATTTGTTTTCATTCCACACCACCACCTTGTCCTGAATACAAAGAGGTGATTCTGTCTTGCACAGAATTGTAAAGGAGCCTGCGACCATCCGAATGCTACTTGTTAAACTAGCTCCACCCTTCTAGAGTACAGTAGTATACGTGCCAGATGCAAAGCCTACTGGTGGTGCACACAGATTCCTTGACACCACGGTGTCACATCTGTGCTTGGATGGAAAAATGGAATCTGTCTCACGGTGCCAGTTGTAACTGAGGGATTATCGTTAAAACGAAGGCAAGCGTCTAATGCAGTTCTCGTTTGATGCTAATATTCATGGAATTCCCCTTCTCATGCTGAACAAGTTGTTCTGTTTTTCACAGGTTTAGGTAAAGCTCAACCACCACCAATCCATGTGGGCACAGGCACCTGGGGAATCTCAAAACCTCCAGCTGGGAAGAGCTTCCAGCCCTTCCTTTTCAAGGAGACTCTGCTTGCAACTGCACCGTTAGATTTAGGGACCATAGCTCATTATTAACATGCTTGAAATATTCCACTATAATAAGAGCGACTACAAGGATAAACCACCTTGCAAGAGAGCGTGTCCCGTGTCCTGGGATAAATGATGCTGAGAAATTTCCCAACACAGGAGCCCTAGTGGGAACCCGCAGACCCCTTAGTCTGTATTAATCCGGCAGATCGTTAGGAACTATTTGTGAGAATGGTGCATTTAACCTATCGAGTTCATCCACCTGGGGTGGATGATGCATCAGAAGTTCCTGGTCTTCTGAAACATCCTCTCCTACTGCCACCAGGTTTGTTAGAGATTTGCTTCTAACACACTGGAAGTCAACGTGACGGCTCTTTCCTTCTTCCTTTTCCCAAGACATCTGGATGAACGGCCGTTGCACATAGTTGTAGATAACTTCTGACCGGCCTCCGGATCTCCTCTTGACCTTTTCTTTACAGGTGGGATAACCTGAAACACAATCAGCCTGTCAGTCTCAATCCAGCCCTTGCATGCATTATGGCCCGGCAAGAATGCTGGGTTCAGCTGGGACAACACCTCATGCACTAGGTAGAAAGGTGCTCTCGTTCCACATTTAGACCCTGTAAAAATGAACTCGGACTATAGCACAGAGCTTCAGATTCTGTCAGCTCCCACAGCGACAGTGTATTTAAACTGGCAGCGGTGGTGTTGGTGTCCAAACCAATTGTTCTCTCTTTTTATTTAAGATTTGTGGTGGTGTTTAGGAAATAAAATTTACCTTCAATGCCAATTCGAATATTTTTCAGCCCACGCTCCTTTAAGACGGTTTTTGCAACATCACGGTTCTCAATGTACTTGAAGAATCTGTACAGCTTGGAACTGTAAAGAACTTGAGAAACAAAGTGATTCATTAGTCACAACAAGACATGCATCTCCATCTAGCATTTGGCTAATGGGTATCAGCTGCGATATTTTACCCTGCGATACCTGTGGGCAGCCCTTTGCAGTCTGGGTGCTGGAAAAGTCAGCCTTAGGTATTAAAAGTAGTTCTAAAACCCCATCAGCAGGCAATGGAAGGGCCTAAATTCCTTGGTAGTGGTGATACAAGTTACAGGGTAGGTAAAAAGGAGTCTGGAAACAGCAAAGTGATAAAGTCATGTAACTTGCACCAATCTACCATTTGGTGGCTGGGTAAAATGAATACAACTCACTCTTTGGGGGACGGTGCAGAAGGAGTTTTTACAGGCAAGGCAAATTAAGAAAAGGGTGCAAGTTAATGTGTTGTTTTCGCTTATCTTTTCACTAGTTCTATCCTCACAGTGTTAGTCATTTTGCAAACCCCGTAAACATTGCATCTTCTCTAATGAATCTGTCCCTGAGACTTATGTAAGTAGCATCTTCTTGCATTAGGGATCAATGCAATCTAGGGTGTAGCAGTGCATCTAAAAACAACCCATTGCATTTTAAAACATGGTTGGTTGGTGACTGCTTTCTCTCCCTGTAACTATAGGGTGTTGGATATCACTGATCATTTGCCATTTTTTAGTGCTGGTAAATGGAACAAGTCTTGTCTGTCCTCTCTATCCAGGAAGCTGCAACTGGGAAATATGAATGTTTTGTTCCTTTGTTTGATTAAAATGTTATCTCAAGCAATGCATAAGCAAGGACGATGCAACTTCCATCACTGAAGAGGGACTTTGTCCCCACACTAGGGAAAACAGTCAGATACACAATAGCTTCCTTTAAACTTAGATCCATTTACCTTATAATTACCCTTTCCTTAGTATTGCTGACTAGAATGTTCTTCTTTATGATGCAGATTATTTCCCTTTTCTACATTACAGCTCTTAACTGAGACTGCTCCTTGTTCTCAAGTCATTATTCTAAATCTGAGACCACACTGCCAGCTCCCTTCTATCAGGCTATAATGCCATAGAAATAAGATTGTTTTCTGTGGGATTAAGCAGAAGAAGCCTGATCCTAGGAGGTGGAAGGGTCCTCAGCACCTGCAAGGAGGGGGTTCCAGGAGAAGACAAGCTAGTACGAAAGGACACTCTTATTCCAATGCCAATATTTATGAGAGCAATCCTGCAGTCAAAGCTCCCATTAATAGCAATACGAATCTTGAGTGAAGGAAGGATTGGGTCCACTGACAAAAGCGGAGGAAAAATACTATTTTCTATAAACGTTCTCATTTTTTAAGGTTTGCTCCACTATGAAAGTTTGTTTGAAGCCAGAAATCTAACAGCAGAGCAAAACAACCGATCTTCATTGGGATATTCGGCTTTGTATATGTTAACAGAACTCCTACAGATGCTGATAGCAAAAGGTTAGAATCAAGCTCTGCCCTATGGCTTGTACAGAAACGTTCTACCTGACCCTGTCATTACTAAACACTTAGCCATGCTGATATTAATGAGAACATTGTGCTTTAAAATAAATATTTTTACAAGATTTTGATTAAATCTCTCACTCCATGGTAACCTGTTCCCCCACTAATGAAATCTCATCAGAATAATTTGAGTGAATCAAGCATTCTGAAATAAACATCTAGGGTCTGGTCTTCCCAAGTGTTGACCACCCACACAACTCCAATGGGAGATACAGGTGCTCAAGACCTCTGTAAATATCAAGCCATTATCGTCTTTTCAATACAAGGAAATGTCCTTGCCCAGGATCTGAGAGAGCCAGTCACTGGAAGCTATCTGTCACCCCATTCAACAAATGATTTTACAATACAATTCTCAGTTCTTACTTTGTGAGTATTCCTCTCCCATTGGAGGTGGATGGTCTTCGTCCCAGTCCACTGTGTCTTCATCTGTTAATACTACAATGTGGCATTCGCGTTCTCCTTTCTTGGCACTACCCACCATTATGGGCAGAATAAGCTCTTCCAGGTAGTTATCGAACTGCTTGTGAGCGCCATCATTAGAGAGTTCGTGCAACAAAGCACCTAAAAGGAGATCAGTCAAGTACAAATAAGTAAGCATTACTGATCTGCCACTGCATTTTATACCAAACTGATGTCAAGCTGAAGTAGGACACACATTTCTGGGGGTATGACTCCTTAAGATGGTTTTAAAACCACCACTTGCCTTTCTGTAGCACTCAATCTGATGAGCTCAAAGCACTTTATAAACATGAATGAACAAAGCCTCATAACTTCCCAGTAAGAAAAGTGTTATTCCCATTTTACAGATGGGAAACTGAGGATAGGAAAAAGAGGCCAAATGGTTCAAAACAAGGCTCCTACTGTACATTTATAATTAGGCCCCTAAATAAGGGTGGCCTGATCTTCAGAGGTGCTAAGCATGCACAGATCTCTAACCTCAATAGCAGCTGTGTTTACTCAGGCCATCTGTAGATAGAGTTAAGCACCCAAGCATGGACTCACTGGCTTGCCCAAACTCAGTCACCGGGAGAGCCCATAAGTTCCAACTCCCACTCCCTTTAACCATCTCACTCATGTAACATACATCCCAGTGTTTTATTGATCGTTGTATTAAATCTACAACAAACGAGAACCCATCCCTGGGCACCTTTGACAACCACCTTAAAAACACACATTCATACCAACAATATCTCTAGTCCACCTCCCAGATCATAATGCTGGCAATAGCAAAAAAAAAAATACAAATATGATTTAATTTTATGGCCATTACAAGGAACGATTTTTTTTTTTTAAAAGAGCCCAGACCCAATCAATATAGTAAAATCATAATCGAGAATTATGAATTCTTACAGTGAATTTAAATGTATGCATCTCTCACAGATCCACGGGATCAGCGGTAGACACCCCAGGTTTCGAACAGTCTGTAGGAGGAACCCCTTCAGTTTGCCTGCCAGATCCCAAGGGGTCTCACTCTTCCTGCACAGGGTAGGTCAATGCTATCTCAACCCCCTCCTTAGACTGTGGGGCACCAGCACTCCTGTTTCACAGTGAGTCCAGCATACAGAGACGCCTGGCAGAGACTTGTATGCTCTTCAGGGATTAATGCACCTCAGCAAGCACTTGGAGTGACACTCAACAGTTGGGTTTGTTAGTTAATTGGAACACAGCACAGGAAGTCTTTAGGTTACCACAGAGAGCTGAAGGTTAAAGCATAGCCCATTCCGGTTAGCCCAGAGCTAGAGCCATGGCTACACTACCACTTATGCCGGCCAAACTTATGTCACTCGTGGTTTATGTTGCTGAGCGATGTAAGTTTCACCTGCATCAGTGGGTAGCGTGCATAGGGCCACGGCGACGGGAGAGCTCTCTCCTGTCGGCTTAGAGCAGCTACACGAGTGACCTTACGTGGCAACCCTGGGTTGCAAACTGCCTCATGTAGACCTGGCCTAGGGGTCACTGTCCTGGTGATTGGATCGGCTATTTTCTTCTCAGATTCACCCTAGATATGGGGTCAGCCCCAGCCAGTCCTTTTCAATGACTCGTTCCGGCTCAGACAGCTAGGCATCATTCATACCTGCTCTGAGAGCAAACTGTCCTCCTCCCATGAACGACGCAATGCATAAGGGAAACTGAGGCCCACACAGGGGTCACAAAAATATTACCTCATCACAGCATCATAACCAGAAATAGCCCTCCAAGTATTTAAATTCTTGCAATTATTTGTAATCACACACAACGTGAAGAGCAAGAACTTGGATCTTGCAAGATGCGGAGCACTCTGGCCCTGGTCCAGCAACGCACTTAAGCACACGCTTAGTTTTAAGCGCAAGTAGTGCCAATGAAGTCAATGGGACAAAACTGCTTAAAGTAAAGCACGCGATTAAATGCTTTGCTGGATTGGGGCCACAGTGCGCAGCACCCTGCAGGATCAAGCCCTAACTTCTAGCTAATTTCCTCTCCCCCTACTTACTTAGGTCTTGACACTTGATTGTGTGGAAATCAAAGTTGATGCAGAGGTAATCGCACGCATCTCTGAGATCAGGGATAGAAATTCCATCGGGGCAGTGAATGATTCCAGTTTTGTAATAGTCCTGTAAATAAATTGTAAAGGAGGAAGATGATGTTTCTTTAAAAAAAAAACAAAACAAAACTCAGGATAACCTGGAAATATTATTGTTAATTAGCTTATCGTTCTGCGGGAAGACAGTCACGCAGAACTTTGTTAGCTAGCAAAAAAAGACAAAGCAGCTTTGCCGTGCAACAGAGAAATTATTCATGCAATTAATGTATGCAGAAATGGGGCGACTGAGGGCAGAGTTCAGAAACTGAAACGGTATAAAGGGAGGGAAAAGAAGTGGCAAGACAAATTGCACGTAAAAAAAAGAGGAGATGAAGATTTATAATCTGAATGCAAAAGAGTTCTGGAACGTAAATTTGAAAGGGCATGCGGCTGTTTTGAAGGAAGCACAGCTTTGCAAACACAATGAGCAACCGTTTTCATAGCTAAAAACGTGCCCGCACCAGCACTGTGTGAAATACAGTGGAGCTAATTCCTTCCGCAATTTCATATTCTCCCTTTTCGTTTGGCCGAGTGAAGTTATATTCTCTACCTGCTCCAAACATTCTGGAAGATAAAAACACATACACAAATATATTTAATACATTCATAATGTGGACCAGATGGTGCACTGACATTAAAAACAATCCAAACGAGTTCTAATACAGTTGAAGGCCCAAATGCAAATCTCGTAAAGTCCCAATAAAAGAAAGCATCGATCTCAAACAGGCCCGCTGTAGCAGAGTTCTGTGTCCATAACTGAACCATTCCACTGTACGGAAGAAGTAGCAGTCACTGTTCTGTGAAGGCTGGCATTCAACCTTGGGTCAGATAAATGGTTCTTGGCTACAAACGCCCTCCCACTGAGGTCCAGCTTGAGGGGGAAAAAGAATGGCGGAGTGGCAATGAGTATATATACTTTGGCTAGTCGTAATCAAGCTAGTGAGTTTACGATCAGGTCACTTATCTGCATAATAAAGTTTGTCATACAGGGTTGGAAGGGATCTCCAGGAGGCTCCTGGGACAGCTGGGGGACTAAGCCTCTCAATTACTCAGAGCAGGACTGGGTTTCTGTTAAAGGGATGGGGAGGAGTGAATGACATGACAAATAGCAGAAAGGCAGGGATTGAAGTGAGCCAGTGCACGGTGTCTCCTACTGCCATACTCACTGCCGATTCAGTACGGACTCAGAGCGGGGAGCACTAACTACTGAATCATCAATTGCCCTCTTGCTGGCTCCACTCTGCAAGGTCTCCCAGCCAAGTGCTGAACCAGTCTGATCCTGCTTAGCTTATGAGATCTCACGTTCTAGTCCCTTTCGGAAAGCGTTTTTCCCATTTTAAACATCTTTAAAGTTACTGAAATCACCTACCTTCCCAGCATGGTGTCAGGATGAGCAGTGAAAATCTGCGGATTCACAACAAACCGAGTGCCGTCTACAACAAGAGTCACTTTCTCCGGGGCCTGGGATTGTGAACTACTGGGGGAGCCCATAGCGCTGCTTGCATTTCGTTCTTGAGCAATAAAATGGTCTAGATGCCTTTTATTCCCAGCTTTGGAATTAGTGCCAGTTGTATCTTCAGGGGTGGGTAACATGTTACTGAACTGGGGAGTTGCTGGGCGGGAAGCGTATCTGAATTCGGTATCTAAAGCCAACACAAACAAATATTGTGAGAATGAAACACTATTTGCTGGATAAGCTCAGTTCATATTAAAACCCAATAGTTAAATAGAAAAGCTTTGGGTCATGCAAGAAGGAAGAGCTGCTGACCGACATCAACAATCCGAGTTGAAAATGGATGTCAATATATGGAATAGTATTTTGCAGGACATTATATTATGTAATGCCACACTACAGCTCCGCCTGATGTCTGATCTAGGTTCAGATCCAAACTTCCGTACAGTTCTAGGAAACTCCGCTTAATGTGGATGTTTAAGTGGATAAAATGGGAGCATAAAGATTCAAATGAGGCTGAGAGAAAATACACTAATACCTGTCTTAAGCAACCGCTCAAATAACTGAAGATGGAACAGAATCATACTCTTATTTCTGGACGTTTGAGGATACTTTGGAGATGTCACTTGAGACAGGATGCACAGTATTAAGGGCAGCCTCTTGTGCTGGTTTCATTTAATTACCTTCCCCTGTGGTATGTGTGGGAAAGGTCCAGCGAACTAAACAAGGCCAGCTGTTGGCACAAGTGAACTCCGCAATTACAGGGCCCTCTCGGTGGATTTGGGGTTTAAAGTGGATATAAAAGTTATAATTTTGTGGAGTGTAAAAGGGCCCTATACCATTGCTTCCAAGTAATCCTACATGACCCTGGCCCGGCCCTGCAAGGGCAGGTTTGAAACAAGGGTGGCTTCTTTAAGAACGATATAGAATAGGTCTGACTAATAACTGGTTTTAATTGAGAGCTGCGTCTAAACTGAGATATTAAATACACACATGTTATTTCCTTTCCGAGACACAGCTGTCATTTAATAAGGGTTTCACTGAAGCAATAAATCATTAGAGCTCAGAAATTTGGGTATAAATATATAGGACCTGTCATGTGCCATTAGTAACAAATATTTGGGTGCAAACAAAGAATTGGCCTGATTTTGTGAGATACCGAGTGCCCTCCATTCCCACTGAAGTCAAGTTTGGCGATGAGGACACGACATCTCACTGGATCATGGCCATTACTTGATAAATATTAACTGAGAAACAGCTTTTAACATGAATTATATATGCAGCGGGCAAGTACATGACAACCAGGAATAGGCTGATAAAGACTGAGGCCTGCTTCAGTGGATTTCCTCCTGGCTGCTTGGGAAAGAGACATGATGATCTTTCCAAGACAACACTATCCCAGACCGAACCTGCATCTTTCATACGGACAGGCTTAACACAGATTTTGCAAGTGCAAATAACTAAGTAAGGGCACACGTAGGTGCACATTCAATTCTGTACACTCACAAGTGCAGGTCATTTCGATGCTCGGCTGAAAATGTGTCCTTCAGTATCCTGGGAAACACTTCCCCAGGAATCAAAGGACCTTTGAAACCATGTCTCCCTTAGTTACGTGTTGTTACAAAGTAAATGTGTCCATCATCCTTACCATCATTCCTGGGCACTGAAGAAATGCTAGGGGTTTGGCTGCCTAGGGCCAGGCTATCTTCTTCTGGATCATGGATTGGAGGAGTTATATTTTCTGCAGAGCGACTGGACTCTTGATTTCTTGACTGGTCAGTCCCACTGGCACAGTTAATATTCATGCTGGACCTCTGTAAAGCAAACCGACTGCTGGTCCTTAGAGAGGTCCTATAAGAGAGGATCACAGGCTAGTAGGGTTGGAAGAGACCTCACAGGTCATTGAGTTCAACTCCCTCTACCTAGGGCTGGATCCAAAGCCCATTCAGGTCAATGGGTGTCTTTCCAGCGACTTCAGATCAAGTTTATATTACCTCCTCTAATCCATGGAGAGTTTTATCTAATCTCATTTTGAACAGCTCACCGATGTCTCAGTGACTTTCCCTGGCAGATGATCTGTTGTAGAACATTAGGAAGCTTGTCCTACATCTAAACTAAACTTGCCATTTTTAGATGAACCTTTTTGACCCTCAGCAAGGGTCCCAACTCCCACCTCACGCCTGCTCCCTCTCACCTCTGCAGTCCTTTCATATCCCATCCCTGCCAAGCACCAGAAGTTAGAGAGCTTCCTGCTTACCTGACTGCAGTCACCAGGGACAACAATGGGGTTCCAAGGAAAGAAAAGGGAGGGCCATTGGGGATTCACTGATGGCAAGCCTCAAACAAACCCTCCCTCCTAGCAGCCAGACACCCTCCCTCCTCTGAGCACAGTGTTCCCTAGAGGTTCCTTCAGTAGCTACTCTCTGAAGAGTTAGTGAAATTACATTTTTGTTCAGTGTTGAAGAGGTTCTCCCCCCCTTCACACGATTTTCTCCCAGTATTTGTGTAGCGCCATCTTATCCCTGCTTTCCTCTTGAACCTTCTTGCACATGAGGTCTTCCAACCCTAAGATGCAATACCTAAACCCTGTCGCTTCTTCATCTAAAACATGTTAATAATCCCGCCTTTCCTCTCCACTCTTTCTACTAAAACCCTGTCTCATGGTCACAAGGCTAGGTGTGTCTCGGTGATCTCTCTGGTCTCTGAGTGCACCTGTTGGGTACCAGCCTCATGACATTCCTCTCCTGGGGTGGAGACATGCAATTCTCCCACTCTTAGCCTGGGCCCCAGCACCCTGGGTATCAACCATGCTAAGCCAGCAGGTCCAAATGGGTTTGGCACTTGCAGTTCTTCCCTTTAGGAGTCTGTGACCAGTGATAAATAGTAATCAGAGAGCCTTCTTAAACCAAAGTATTGTTTAATCTTAATTACATGAACAAAGCATAAAAACAAGAGAAAAACAATAAATGGTCTATACACGTCTATCTTACCTATAGGGTTACCATCCTCCCCGAAGGGAACCTAGAAGGCCTAACTTCCTCAGACAGCTCCCCCAGTGTGTCAGTCTGTCCCCCAAAGAGCCCTCAAAAAACTGACTGACTGCTGGACAGAGTCCTTTTAACTGTTTATAGTCTTTTTCATCTGCTGGTTCCCAGCACTGGCAAAACAAGCTTTGTAACCTGGCTGGAGCCCAGAAGGTATGATCTTCAAAGTTAATAGCTCAGGCCACTTGGAAATGTTTGCCAGGAGATGTCTTATCTCAAACCACTGTGTTGCCTTCCTCTTGGTTTCCCAACTCTGTTGATTTAACCCAGTGCTGCTGTATATTAAACCTCCCAATACTTAACCCGATACAATCATACAGTAACTATCCCGATAACCATATTGCATAGAGTGTTCCTGCATTATCACCGAGCAGCCTCACGTTTGCCAAACCCTGGTCCGGGCCTTCATCAGCTCTTGCTTTAACTAAAGCAACCCCCCTCCCGTGTACGCTAAAAGCCACCCTCTTCCACTTTTCTCATTGTGAGCCCATCACCCCTACTCCTTGTATCTAGTCATTGGTTTCTTCTCATTCCACATTAAGTTCCCTTTGTCTGTCATTATCTTTATAAAGCTCTACCCATCTATCTGTGCTCGTTTCACCCAATCCGTCTGTATCCTCTCTCCCAACAGCTCCCCTTTGCCTCTTTCTCCCATTCTCAATTTGACACTTTCATGGCAGGCCCGATACAAGCCAACTTTCCCCTCTCTTTGCTTTGGGAGCCCGCCCTTTGATCCTTCAAATCCCTCTTATTTTAAAAAAAACTTTCCTGCACTGATTTCACTCATGAGGTGTCTACCACTTCCTGAGCTTCAGCCTTTCTCTCAATTAGAGTCTAATGTCTTCAAGTGTGTTCTGTAAAGCAGGACATAACATGTACCAAGCTACAGAATTAGTGAATAAAATAGATCAGATAATGAAACAACGAGCTACTAATAAACAACAGCGAGGGGGCTTTTCAGTCATAATGCACCAAGAGGGATGGTCTTAATGAGCAGCACAACGGAGCTGAACTAAGGGTTTTAGGACTGTCATTAGTGCAGCTCAATGGAAGTGTTTTGTTCCCAACTAGAAATGAACAAAAGCGGCAACTAATTATCTTTTCTAAATGGAAACACTAATTTAGCAACGTGTTTATTTCTGCGTATTTTTAGCCAAGAGGCGGCTTGTGCTTCGTGTGATATTCATGAGAATAAAATAGTTCCTTGGCAACCACAGCACCTTCTTCTGGATCGCACTTCTATTTTAGATGCCTACGACGGGCTCCAATGGGTACACAGCAACGTGAGAGACCTAGTGAGGACATTTTAGTCTGAGGAAATTGAACAGATCACAATGCAACATTGCACAGAACTCCTATCACCGATTACTAGAATTCGGCTACACTCACCCGACTGCACGACAAAATGAGTCGCCAAGTAATGAACTCCTTTAAACGAACACAACATGACACAACTCGTTTCTAGCAACTTACGCCTGCAATGAGACTGAATATGTACATCCACAGAGTGCAGCACACTATAAACCTTCCAATGCCATTGCAAACCTGACTTTCATTTAAATTTCAAACTACATAAAAATTCACAGCGATTCTTGACAGGGTTTCAGAGTAGCAGCCGTGTCAGTCTGTATCCGCAAAAAGAAAAGGAGGACTTGTGGCACCTTAGAGGCTAACCAATTTATTAGAGCACAAGTGAGCTGTAGCTCACGAAAGCTTATGCTCTAATAAATTGGTTAGTCTCTAAGGTGCCACAAGTCCTCCTGTTCTTTTTACAGCAATTCTTGGAACTCATTTTGATACCGCCCTATAGATATATTTAAAAATAAATCAATTAAGATCACAAAGCTTTATCAGACATTTTTTAGGCCTGGTCCACATGTAAAACCTATCCTGGCACAGCCGCTGGTTAGGAGTGCCGTTTGTTTGGCTTTTTTACACCTGCATAGCTATGGCAGTACAAGCCCTATTGTAGACACACACGGACTGGCACAAAAAGGACTTTGCCAGCATAGCTCATGTCTCTTGGAGAACCGGTGTGACAGCAGCACCACTTTTTCTCTGATCTAAGATGTGCCTACACTAGGAGGGTTTGCTGGTATAGCTACACCAGAGCAAAACTTTTCTAGTGTAGACAAGACCTCACACTCTATACAGTTACATCAAACCTTCCAAATACATGACATTTAAGCAATGATAGGTGACAAGGAAAGACTGCTACCCATTGATCATAATTTTATAACTATCCAATAGCTGCTGTGATCAAATTTCAATTGAACTTTTTTGATCCGTCAACCCACAAATCTTGCCGTCAGTTTTGTTCCAGATTAAATACACATATATGTCAGAGATTCCACGAGCCACATATTGATCGCCAGCACTCTGTAGGCGCCTGGACTGAAATGACCCAATCCTTTCTCATAATTTCTTATAAACTAGTGTTATGAAAGAGAAAGCCAGATGCACCAGACACCTATAAGTTGCAATAAATGTTATATGACTCAGATAGCTTTTTTACTTTCTACTTAACCTGCTGAATGTGCTTTTTATAAGAAGCTGGCTTTACCGACACCTTATTTCTCATCCCCTTCCTCCCACATAAGTAAGCGAATTTAGTGCTGGTGAAAGGTACAAGGCTAACAGTCCTCAAGACATGGCAGCAGGTGCACACCAGTATCAATCCCGCGAGTTCTAAGAGGCAATGTGGCTGGTGTTCCCCATTGAGTTCAACTGAAATTGAGAGTGCTCAGCCCTTCTGAAAATCTGGCGCACTGTGAATAATGCCAGTGGTGTTTCCACTGCAGCAGTATGGCTCCACTCTTCCCCCAACAAGAGCCTGTGCCTTATAGACGTGACTAAACCCCAGTTTTGGTGGATTAACAAAATGGGTGTTATTGAGTCAGCATTTTACGCCATGACCACACATGGAAGGCACAACAGATGCTTATTTAATGTACCTACAATTATATGAACAATCCGGCATGGAAAATGGTTCTTAAGCCCATATAACAAGGCTATATTGAAGTCCTCCCAGTTCATTAATGTCCTGACTGGGGTAAAGGTACATTACCTTAGTCTTTGCCATGGTGGGAACAAGCATATAAATAATAATTAGCACTTTTCATCTTCAAAGCTCTTTCCAAACATTAACTAATTAATTCTTTGAACACGCATCTGAGGTACTGTCAGAAAGTGTTTTAGTGACAGAAAACAAAGGCACAGGGAAGGCCAGGACTTTTCCAAAAGTAGCCATGGGTTCTGAGTGCCCAACCTAAAACAGCTTGGGCCTGATTTTTAGAGGCGTGGAGGGCCCTCAGCTCCAACTGCCTTCAACTGGACTTCTGGGTACTAAGCACCTCTAAAACTCAGGTCCATCATGTCTCAAGTTCAGCACCCAAAACAAGTTTTTGAACATCTAGGCTCTGACCTTGCAAGGGAGTTACTGCCAGAGCCAAAATTAAAACTCAGGTCTGTTTCCTAGCATTTGATTTTACTTCGGCTACGTCTTCACTACCCGCCGGATCATAGAATCATAGAATATCAGGGTTGGAAGGGACCTCAGGAGGTCATCTAGTCCAAGCCCCTGCTCAAAGCAGGACCACTCCCCAACTAAATCATCCCAGCCAGGGCTTTGTCAAGCCTGACCTTAAAAACCTCTAAGGAAGGAGATTCCACCACCTCCCTGGTAACACATTGCAGTGTTTCACCACCCTCCTAGTGAAAAAGTTTTTCCTAATATCCAAACTAAACCTCCCCCACTGCAACTTGAGACCATTACTCCTTGTTCTGTCATCTGCTACCACTGAAAAC